TGATCACGTGCACATTCCTCGCATGCCCTCGTTGTAAATGTCCGTTGTCCGGGATTATTAATCGCCCACACAGTAAACTGAAGAAAATGGAACTTCTGGAAAACTCACTGTATAGGCCTGACTGTTGCATTATGAACGCATTGATAGCCAAAAAACCACAGAAATCGCCTTCTCGAATAATTTGTGCTGTGTTATTTGTTAAGTTGTTTGCATGGAAATGCACTCTATGCTCTCACAAACTAAGTATACCCATTTGACACTGCATTTTCGGCGCATCCGTCCTCCCTTTTTAACCATACATCTTTTGTGTTCTTATTTAACTGAAGATCATTCATCTTTAGCTCAGTGCCTCACCTATTTAATTCCGGCTAGTAATCTTATACTGATTTAAGCATATTTAATGGATTAGGCCGATATCTGTAATGACCACTACAGAACTGATTACGGCACGGCTAATAACGCAAACTTACACCGGACAAGTCTCACTTTGATAAGTTCCGAAATCTGATTCTCAAAGATTGTTGAAACAGCACGGTGCAGTGCACGTCATGATTTCCAACAGAAAGGAAATACGCTTGCCTGTTCTACTTGTAGACACCTTGTCATTCAATCACCACGGTCAGTAAAATGAGAACTCCACCGGTGAACTCCCAATAGGCACATAAGCAGGAGATATGGTTGACTGAAGGAAGCATGAAAAATCCTGAAAAGACTGCTATCTCGAGACCGCCTGCTCATGGCATTCAGTGACCCTTCGAAAGGACGTCTCAAAACTCTCCCATGAAAAAAAGCCCTATGTCGGTGGAAGTGGTAGCTCGCCTGTTGTAATCGACCACGGCCATCTTCATCAGTTCGTGCCGGTGGTTTGGTCGGTAAAGCGTTTAGGCGATTGGGTACTGCTGTTGCTTAAGCTTAATGAACTTCCCCACCCCCACCCCCCGTCGCCGCCTCCTCTGAAGTCACATCTGTCAATGCTGGATGCGAGTGCGGCAGCAGCAAGCATTTTTGCCGTCGCAGCGGCTGATTGGATGGGCAGGCAGTCACAGTGAATCGCAGTCAAGTTGTGTTCGTTCATGGGTATGGTAGCGCGAACCAGTGTTTTTGAGAACACCAATAACTTGGCGAGGACTACTACAACACCGCCCTGCGAGTTTGAAGACGACAGGGTCGCACACACTGAGAGCTAAGGGCATGACACAGGAAAATCGACCAACTTGACAGAGGAAGGTGTGTAGACCTAAGAACAGGAGGAATGCACTTAATATTCTTAGGTCATATTTCGGTACAGACCGGATTGCTTTTTGTTACCTAAGCGCGTTAAGCCCAGCAGTGCAAAAGTCGTGTTCTCGACTAGAGATTGTTTGGACGACGAACAAAAACCTGGTTCCAAGAAGGGACCTGTAACTAGCAAAATACTGTACATGGCAACTGTTTATGTTATCAACTCGCCAAACGAACGCTTTCCGCCTTCATCTGAGTAAAAATGTGTACAAAAGCTTTGAGTCATGGGCACTCATTGGTACCGCATAGATGAACCGTTTCTTTGGCGCCGCGCGTGAGTGCTTGAGGTCTAGAATAAAAAAATTCGACAACGGTAGGGTGAAGGACCCCGCTTAAATGTCGGTAGACTGTGGATCGCGTCATACGGAAATGATGGAAATGGGGATTTTACGGGTGGGGCAGCACGCCAGACAGTAAGCTGACGAAATGCAAGAAAACACAAATGATTCGGAGTTCGGCCGAAAGTCTTATCGTACGTTTTCGAATGTTAACGGAGATAAGGCCGTCAATCAACAAATAACCAAAAGGCCAATTCCCCAAAGAAACAATCTAGTCTGAACAAGGGTTTGGGTTCATGGGAAGTAATTGTTGTCGGCAGAGCAATGTCTGCAACGGCCCGCAAGTGGATGCCAAGATAAAACCCCACATGGCATGTTTCATAGTCTACCGACAGTTAAGTGTGGTCCTTCACCCTACCACTGCCAAAAATTCTACACGAGGTGAATGAGGTGCATAAAATTAATTCCAAAACTCGGTAAGCAATCGTGTAAGCTACACTTATGCGTCAGCAGTCCGTGTTCTACAGGCAGGCCCGTCGCACCGACACGCGTCTCGCCTCCGCTCTCGCCTGCCGAGATAACCATTTACTAAACAAGTACCCAATAGAATGCGCTCCGGTCGTGACTTTCTTCCGTTCAGCAGGATGTGACTTCAGTGCCAGCAACCTCACTAAACAATCAGCCTTAACCACCCCAAATTTGTGAGCCTAATATGTTAACGGCTTTGTGGGGAGACGACTGCTGAGTACTGAATCAATTGTAAGACCTGTAACATATTCCTCGGGGTCGAAACGTTTGCACCAACTTCCATTCGGCAGACTGTGCAGCCTAAGGCGGTCTGAATGTTACCCTAGTAGTGAATGGAATGTCAAGGACGACAGTCACTAGTGAGAAGCGCGGCAGAGAGCAAGGTGACATTGCTAAACCCATATCTGACTCACCTGCTGCCATCAGTCAGTGATACTCCCATCCGGGTGGCTGGTTCATCCAAGTGTCAGTGAGTGCTTAGGTTTAATGCTATAGCAACCCGAGCCCCCAAGCTCATAAACTGTCAACTGCGATTGGATGCGCCAACACTCGGGGTTGGAGCGATGCTGGGGTGATGGGAAATGAATCATAAAAGGCCATCCTAGTGTCCATAACTTTTTCAGTAACAATTTTTCCTTACCGGCTGATAGTCGTCATGAGACCGGCTGATAGTCGTCATGAGACCGGCTGAGTGGGTTGTAGATCCTCAGTTTACAGTTTGAGCGGAGTCTCTCACCCTGTAATCAGGATAGACCAGAGAACGCCACTTCATCATCATACTCATTATCGACCGCGACAGATCGCACAAACGCGAAGGCTGACACGCAGAACATGACTTACGGCCGCTGAACCGCACACAATAGCTTCGCATAAATTTTAATTTAAAGCAGGTGGAAAGACTTATCGAAATCAGATCCTCGGGGGAAGTTAATTTTTTACTGGTTCGGAGTTAGGTGGCTGCGAGGTCAATCACAAACTGCAAATACTACATTCCTGAGTCAAGAGCCACTGTTTGTCAGCACGTTGGTGTACCATTAACTATAGCAAAGAAAAATATCAGCATCTGATCAAATAAGATGAAGGCAAGGCCACCTGTCAAGACTTCTGCAGCAAAAATATGGTCTATGATAAGTGACAAATGGTCTTTCGAGCAAAAGAAAACATAGTCCACAGCATCCTAGTTAACAGAGGCTCTGGTATAAGATCCCCCGAGCATTAAGGATGATGATTAATGGAGATTTATGCCATAGTTAGACCATCGCGAACGATTATGCCCATCGTGTGCCCAACTTGTTGTGCGCAGCGCGGTGATTTGCCCATCAAGTAGTTTATGGTGATAGTAGAATTAAGCAGCATCGATCACACTCTCCTTCCCCACCCACCCGAGCCCCATATCGTGACAGCGTCAGGAAGACCGGATTCACGATCGGCGCAGTGCCAAACACACACACACACACACACCTGATTCGCGCACAATTAACCAAGTCTTCACTAATACAACAAAGGGGTGGGCGCTTCGAATCCTAGCTGAATGGGAGTGCCGTAGAGGCCAAACTAAGAAGAAACGATTGCAGTCTGACTGTCGATTGTGAGAGGAGGAACGAACTACCCCCACAGTTAGCAGCCTTCCTAGCCACAGCTTTTAGCCTACCAAGCGCGTCCGACTGCCAACGCTGAGGACTATGCACTGAGTATAGCGGAGACAAAGTCAGTCTCGTTCTCACTTCCGCCGCGTAGGCACTAGTCCGATGTCCGAATGAGTCGGATGAAGGGGAATTGCGGTGAGTGGCTGGTGCAGCGTGAGCCTGTGTCTGTGTGCAGCCCGGATAATACGTTCCTTGCCCTTCTCTGGCCCCTGTGTTGGACCTGCCATCACGGGGAGTGCCGAAAACGGTATTGTGGTGTACCGTCCAGTGACGCGGCGCAACATAGACGAGCGCCTCCGCCTTGCGATTTTATTAGAAATATAGCATCACGCCCTGACACCCTCCCTCCCGCCCTGTTCCTATCACCTCCAAGAATAATTATAATCGGAAGGCTTTGTACAGGGGTACAATCATTCATCGCAACAACAGATGACGGTATCTTAATATATCCGCTCCCCGGGCCTATGATGCCGGAGATTTTGGTGGCCGCCTCAAACGAAACTTCGCAGTATTACTTTTCTGGTTATTAAGTAAAAGGTCGACCACGGAGTGACAACAACTGTGTGGTTGCAGGCAGGTACGGAAGATGGAAGCAAGTGGTTATAACAGTGATCCCGGCCGTTCGAACGTCGTGGGTCTTGAAAAAGGGGGATATCACAGCAACTAAACTCCGGTGACAGCACCACGAAGGAAAATACGTAGTCATTTGTCCACTCGATGCCATTTTCAGGTAGTGTGTTAATTGCAAGGTCACAAAGAGCGTCCAGCAAAGATGAAATGGAGGCGACAAAAGTACTCAGTAGTGTTCTGTACACCGACGCCAAAAGTAAGTGGCGATGGTTCGGAAAAAGGTCCCAAAGGTCGCACCGACAGCAATTTTCCGATCAACGGCGAAAGTAAGGGCTATTGAAAAGGCTGCGATTAGTTAGCGTATTTTCTTGTAAAATAATGACATTAGTTGGCGTGATCGAATAAGGACATTTCCCAATTTCGGTTCGACGTAGCAACCGACGTAAGGGTTCCTAACAATGCTTAACATGCGAATAACACCGTAAACGCATGAGCAGACGGAGAGAAACAGAAAAAGATGCGATGACGTAAAAATTTATATGTATGTAAGCAAGTGAGCTCGTCCATGCGAGGTGTGTAAGTGTATTCGAGCGGAAATTAAGTTAGGGAGCGAGAAGGTCACGAAAAGTAAAGCACAGACTGAGAAGCCAGTTAGAAGGGAGGTCTCGCAAGCTGGAAACGCACAGCATACACGGGGTCACCTGCGGAAGAGACGAGTCGCCCAATTACCACCCTGCAAAATCGCAACAATGAAACCGTATGACTAGGAGAACCGACAATGCTTCACCTTAATGCCAGAGCCCTCAGCGATGGAGTATGCAAAATAAAGGAGGGAATGAAAGTACCAGAGCGGAGTGCTATGCAGGGGCAATGGAGTGCGGTGTTTAACACGATGTGATACAAAACCGTCTAGAGTTAGGTAATAGAATGGGGCAAAAAAAGTAAAAACAGTCTAGATGTGCGGTAGATGGTATATCGCTTCGCGAGAAAAGCTAGACTGCAGGCATAACCCAGTGGTGATAGCGATTTTTTGTCGGTCGTAACCCAGTTACGTCTGCCCCATTAGGAAGCAGAAAAGAACAGCATAATGACATGTAGAAAGAGCTAAGAGGATGGCAGAGATAGACCGGCAACGCAACGTAAGACGGGGATGGCGGTTGTTTCAGGTTTTCTAATCTCTTTCCTTAGTAATTTTGGGGTATGGCAGAAAAGGCGGCCGAAAAAGAAGTAAATAAGTTTGAAGCACCTTGTGTTTCTGTCTTTGCTGAATTTTGCCCGTGCATCCCTGACGTTTTTACAGGGTCGTATTGCGACCAGGTAGGTGGCCGCCTTTTCACTTTGCCGACTATCTGAAGATAGTTTGCTCTGTGGCGCCTATCAGACTGAAGTGATCCCGTGCCCAATAAAGTAGGGGAATCTAAGAGTTGCGCTCTAAAGCCCTTAAGATTTGATGGTCAACGTTGAAGCTTTATCTACATTTGCACACATCATTGGAAATCGAACTCAAAATGGAAGTGAATGATGACGACCCTAACCAAGTAATGCAGATCGTTTGTGTTTAGCTTACACAGAGGCAGATGAAACAGTGGTCCGAATCCTCAATATGTCTTCAAATGCATAATATTAATTACGTAGATAAGTAGAAATGATGAACAAGGAAAGTCACATCATTCCGGCACTCTCTCAAAAAATAGTTTGACCAACTACGACGGTCTCACTTTGGAAAGTAGCAAAAGTCGTGGATTTCCCTATGTGTATATAAAGGCAACTATCCTTGCTAAAAAAAACAAGGCATGCCGTAGATGTGATATCCTATGAAAAGTTAGGCGAAACTTTGAAATGTACTTTCGATTCGATAATATTACCCATGTAGAGCTATAATATTAATTGGCGCGCAGCAAAATCCCCAAAATACTTCAGTCACATCAGGATGGTGGGTTTTGGATGAACTTCTTTTCGGTTGTCTGAAAAAAACCCAGCTCTGTAAAAAATGACTCCTTAGTGGTACTAAAATATTCCATCGATTTCGATGCCCGAATAATTCAATTATATTTTACAGAAAATGCGCACAAAATATGCTTCCTCATACTCACTTGGTAGCAAACTACGTCTGCTTTACACTTTTTACTCAAAGAAAGGGAACCTTTCGGGTTTAAAAAAGTTTCTAATCGTGAGATTGTCCAAGGCCGCGAAATGTCCATTCATGCAGCATCGCGTCCATTAATGGAAACTGTTAAGTATACAGCCCGGTTCACGTCCATTGCACAATGTCATGAGTGCTATATGGTGTCTTCCTAACAGCGTAGAGAACATTGTAATATTCTTTTGACAGAATGTAGCTTGGAAAAGCTAAATGTCAGTGTGAAGGCAGGTGAGACAAAAAATCACTCGGGAATCGAAAAACTTCTTAAAAACCGCAATATACCCTTTCACTGAGTATAGAATGTAAAGACATAATTTGTTACCAAATGAGCACATGAAAGAATACTTTTGCGTGCGTCTTCTATATAGCATGACTAAATCTATAAAGACACCGAAAATGGATGGGAAATTTTTATAGTACTTAATTGAATATCCTTTACAGAGTTCAGTTTTTTCCAGACGACCGAAACCAAGCTGATTCAAAAGCCGGCACCCTGATGTGAATGAAATATATTAGTACTATGCTATAAAACAATTAATATTACAGTTTGCTTGAGTAATCATTTCGAATCGAACGCACATTTCAGAATCTCGGTCAACATTTTACGAGATAGCCCATCTACTGTGTATGCTTGTGCTTCCTTTGCGGGAAACTACGCCTCTATAAGTCACATTTGCAAGTACTTAATCCTAGACGCATAGTCAACATAGATCAATGGTCTTGCATGTGCTTCAGGATTAAAAACAGAATCAAAACAACACCTCTGTAAGTTCCTCTTCCTGTAAAAGGGAGAAAAAAGAGGAAGAAAAAGCAGAGGGAGAAGAATAAGGGGAAGAAGAAGAAGAAGAAGAAGAAGAAGAAGAAGAAGAAGAAGAAGAAGAAGGAGAAGCAAGAAAAAGAAAATGAGGACGTTGATTTCTGGGGCCATTTATTTATTGTTCCGACGATTTAAACTCCCACACCGGACCACCATCAACAGATGACGGAAGGTACCACTCACTGTATATTTAACCTACGTCCGCCCGAAATAACCCTTAGCCGTGCCACTGATTCCTTCACGGAGCGCCAGCTAAGCGGCTGACAAATCGATAGCCTATTAATCGAAACTTCGGTCGGGTGCCATGCCTCCTGGAGTAGACACGAGGCTCGGTCATGCAAGTGATCTAAAATTCTCAAGCACTCCAGGGAAAAGTACTGCCCTGGCGCGGACAAGTAGGCAGCTAATAAGGAAAGTTTATCTTCCTGCCTCGCAAAGACCTTGTACTCGTGCAACCTCATACGGACCTGTTTAGGGGTTTCACCAAAATAATTAGCTTAACCACCACGCCAGATGTCTGATTGATGGATAATTGGTCTTTAAGGTATATGAGCCAGCGGCGAATTGTCGCTTCCGAACTGTGAGCGATCCCAATTTTGCTCATCAATCTAGCGAATTCTTTGAACACACAATCTATATACGGCAGAGGGCGCCAACACTTCGGTTTTGGTCGCTCTCTGGAGTCTCTTCCGGATTCTCGTCCACGCCTGTCGACAAAAGTGTCAGGGTGTCCTGTAGCTGTAAAAAATTTCGACGGAAACTGAACACCGGCGTTCTTGGCGTTTCGGTCAGTACAGTGTGTTTATATACGTCGGTAAAGTACTCCTAAGCAGTTGCTATGGGAACGTAGAATAAGAGCGGTATTTGCCACGCTCCTGCAACTAGTTGTTTTAAATTTCTCATTGCCTCAAGTAAAAGTAAGCCTAGAAACGGTGGGGCCTCGTAGCTCAGGTGGCTAGGGCGTTGGCTGTACTAAAGCCTTCCCCTTGCTGTCGGGGGTTCGAATGCTACCGGGGCGCCGAGTTTTTGACAATTGGGTCAAAATGAATTATTTGAAATCTGCCGTAACACCTAGGAACCTAGCAGTCTTTGTCCATCTCCATCTTCAACTAAATGTCCAAGAAAACGAGTGTGGATGTTGCACGCATTCCTTAAATCCTGTCCCGAGTGATGACAAATGTGCCAATAACATACCATATCCACAACCGTCGTCGATAATGACCGAAAATCAGCACCTTTAGTCGCTGCAACATTGCCTCAGCAACCTGGCTGGATAACAGTAATCCCATCGGCGTACAGCTTACGAGGAGCTGCGTGAACGGCTCGACGGCACGATAAAAGATTATTCCCGGCCGAGGTGGGTTAAATAGGCAATGGATTGTACTTTCCTCGCTTCCCTGAGGAAGAACTCGTGTGAGAGTTCGAAACGTCGGGACAGTGAACAACTGGTTTCAGAAATCGCCGCGCCTGACTTATGAAACATGCCTAAGGCAACGAAAAATCACTAAGGAATGTGAAACTCGTCTGAATGCATCCACCATGACACTAAAAAAGCGCGAGATCGAGCCTCAGGTGTTCTAAGCCTGGGGTTTGGTATGATTCGCTGATGACAGCTAATAAGCCACAAATGGTCCTTCCAGTCTCCCATGTCTTTTTCGGTAATCTCCCTCGATCTACATTGTCAGTGGCTAGGACATTGCCTGCAGGGCTCTAGATCCAGCCCCAAAGCACAACGGGACGATCAGGTCATGCAACGCGATCGGCGAGCGCCCTCTGACACATAGATACGTTTTCAATCTGGGTCTTTCGACCTCATTATTTACTGTATGGTGGTAAATTCTTGTTTATGGGTCACGCCTATCATAAAGGGCTTTAGAATTCTTATTGCGACCTCAAAATGTTTCTTCAAATAGAGGATTACAAGGAAGATTTTCGCTTTTTCAGCGTTGGACCACTCATGCATAGGCTTCTCCAGGCACTTACTTGTGAAGCACCTTGGATGGCTATTGGCTTTGAACAGAGATCGTAGATATTTCACACCCTATTGTCGCCACTGTTACACTTGAGTTCTCACTTACTCTGCGGTCGGAATAATTTGCATTTAGACCCACCGAACGACATCATTATGGAGACAAATGCAAAACCTCGCCAAAAAGATGCAGAATGAAATAGCGACAATTTGAAGCAATCTGATCAGTCAGAAAACTGACTGAATTGGTGGTTCGCTGGCCACCAGGACACTAGTTAGGTACTTTAGTGGCACAGACTCGCAGTGACAAATTAAATTGGCTGCAATAACAACCCAAACTTTCTTGAGACAAAATAAAGCTTCAGCTGAAAGGGGCAGGCTTGCTTGCAGGCTTATCTTTGTTCACTGGGTAAGTGGACAATACGGCCGACATAGCAAAAAGTCACCCTGCGGAAGAACAGCGGACAAAAGTGATCCTCTTCACGCAAAAAAAGAAATAGCGTACGGACTGGTGGGCCTTATCCATTTAGCCATACTTATTTTATCCATTATTTCAATACTTTTTATCAATACATATTCCAGAAATTTGTGATCAAGCAGTAGTGACGCCACTTGAGCGTTTCTCCAGGCGTCAATTATTGGAATGTACTACTTGTTCTGATGTTCTCTCCAAGCCATTTATGCAAACTGGTTTGTGTAGTCAGTTTCCGTTTAAATCTCGTGCGGTTGTGAAAGGAGGGCATACCAGCTGCCTGAATTAGTAATGAACAGGGACACAGTTGCAAATAAGGTAGAATTCAATGATGCCACCAAAGTGCACGATCCGTCTTTTAGCCGTGAATCCAACCTGACAAAAATTTACGAACGCGAGCACCGGAAAAGAAATGATGGTTGGCAAACCGGAAAGTCCGTAATATACATGTCCCTTCTCAAAGAAAGCATCTGTTTGCACAACGCAGAACTCCAATTGCGTGCTTTCGGGAGTGTCTGAAGGTGAATTATGGAACAGCCTTCAACAAATGCTGACTCCACGAAACTGTGCTCCAATCGGCGGCCACACCACGGCAGCCGCCTAGATCAGCGGGTCAAACAGTGTGGGTGGGGGTAGTTGATGACACTTCTTCAATTCGATGAAGCTCTGTACATGGAACTCGGTTCAGTGCGTAAATATGAACCGTTTGTGTGGCAGTACGCTGGTTGGCAACAGCTCATAAACTCCTACTCTCTATCGCTCAACTGCCAAAGTCCTGCCCAGAGGGCGACAGCAACTAAGTGGGATACACAAAAAATTACATTGGATTACCGTTTAAGTCCCCCTAATACATTTGATTTGTCCTACAGAATATAAAGGCGTTGAGGTCTGAACATTCTAGAAACTGGACAATATTCCTCCATGTTATTGGTCGCTGGGTTGCCTTTCCCATCACATAGCATGATTGATGACTAGGGATAAAACAAGTGGAAAAGGATATAGAAAGTGTGGGCGGCATTCTATGATCCGACTTGATTTTAGGACGGAGTACCAGGATTTCGCCTTTGCTTAGAGACTCAAGTCCCGGGCGCTCGCAGGAAGTGACATTGTTACGGGCAATCAACAATCGACGAAAATTGAAGAAATAAAGATACAGGGGCCGGAATGGTCATTTCTGGTCTATTTTCTGTCGTTGCCTCGTCGTATGCTAAAATGGGCTGTTGAAACCAGAGAGCTGAGCTTTGTCTCAGCTGAACCAGTGGCTTAATCACTATCCAGCTAGACCTGGACTGAAACTGCAGGCCTTGGCGACCCTCACGTGGCGAATGGCTAGCCAAAAACGCCAGAAATGGCCATTCCAACCTCGTTAGTCTCCGTTTCTAATGCTTTTCGATAATGTGTCTCGGGGTCCATGATGCTGATTGCAATTTGTCATAGTGATACAGTTAAAAAACGAACAGAATAGGCTCGCCGCAACTGGCGTGACGAAAGAAAACCCATGTGTACTCGGTACTGTTTGGTTATTTAAAAATAATAAACAAGTGTTTCGACAAATTTGAATAGTTTGTTTGATTCAAATGTGATAACCTCGGCGATCTCGATGGGATCCGAAACCACGACAGCAAGGGCAACGCCTGAGAACAGCCAACGCTCTTGCCACCTGAGCTACGACGTCCCGACAAGGAGTCGTGAGTTTAATCACATTAGGATATCCGGCGCTGTTTGTACTCGATCGTTGTCCTTGCTGGCGTGGGTTCGAATTCCACCGACGCCGCCGACTTCTTACGAATTGGGACAAATGAAATAGGGAATAGTTAAATTGCTTATGTTCGCATACAAGGGCACGCCTATGTAGTCGTTGAAGCCACACGGATTTAAGCCATGGGGTTCTTGTGCGAAGATAACGTTTATATCCATCTCGCCTCGTAGTAGTATTAGTATTAGTAGTAGTAGTAGTAGTAGTAGTAGTAGTAGTAGTAGTAGTAGTAGTAGTACATGTCAACTGTAACCACTTCTTAAGTGTTTTATACCTAGGTAGACTGTTGATTTTCTTCAATACCAAAGGCGCACTGCTAACCTTCTTTTCAACCACCTGCGAACCAAAGTTCACTCCCGTGTTATTAATCCATCTCTTCTCGCAATAAATGTCAATTGCATACTGCGGCGGGGGGAAAAGTATTACAGACGACCTTGCTGCCGAAAGCTAGACCAGGACAGAGAAGATCAAGGCCACAAAAGACACGCGAAATGCGCGGCTAACACGTACATCCATTTGTTTCTGCAGAGCCTGCAGTCTTTCCTCGAGCGCATCAGCGCGGGCGATTGCCTCCCTGACCCTGGCGTCACTTTCAACCTCCCCACTCCCAGGTACGGCGTCGCCAGCGGGACCTACAACGGGCTGCGAAGCCGAACCCTCATTGAGGGCGTCGGTCGGCAATGAGGATCGGAACTTCTGCAGTTCCTCCTCCATGCGCTCATTTGTTTCTTTTGCCGCCGCCAACGCCTCTTCGAGTTCGAAGATGCGTTCATCCGTGTCAGCCTTTTGAGCCTCGAGAGTCGCCTTGTCGATATTTTCCTCCTCCAAGCGAAACTGAAGCTCCTCAGCCCTTCTGAAATGGAGGTCAAAGCATGTACAGGATGAAAGAACGGAGGACAATCGCGGAATAGAGAAAGGACAGACTAAGGTAGAGGATGAAAGAAGGGAAGGGCTGCAGCTCACAAAAATTGGTTTACAAAGACCGTGCAGAGATACAGTAGGTGGGTTAACTCATGAAATGTCAACCTAAATTCCGAAATGCGTTTTCGTTTCGAAAAGATTAATTAAGTAGGGTTGTTAAACTAGTCAGTCAGCAAAAGAATTCTATAATATTTCAGTTACCCCACGATGCCGGCTTTCGAATGAACTTCCTTTCGGCTGCATGCAAAAACTACACTCTGTAAAAAATGACTACATACGTTGCATGAATTTTTGTCATTGATTTTCGATGCTCCTACATGTCTACTTATATTTCATGGAAAACATGCATAAAAATATTCATTCTTTTGCTCATTCGGTAGACAATTACGTCTTCTTCTAATCTTACACTCGAAGGAAGGGCATAATTCGGTTTCCAAAACCTTTTCCAATTCCCGAATAATTTTGAACCCGCTCTACCGTTAAACTTCGATTGAGGGTTTCCAAACTACAAGCCGTATAATTTCCGCGTACGGAAAACCACACATTTCTCTACGGTAATAAAGGAGGACCATATAGGGTTCATAAAATTTAGCAGCGGATTAGATCCCTATTGTTACCTTTACAAGCCACATTGGTAAATGCGGAGACATGACGATTTATGAACGGCCATTTCACGGTATTTAAAAGTCCCACAATTGGAAACTTTCTTAAAACCTAGTTATGCCCCTCCTTTGAGTACAAAATTAGAAGACGCAATTATCTACCGAATGAGCAAAAGAATGAATATTTTTATCCATGTTTTCGATGAAATATAATTGGACATTTAGAGGCATCGAAAATCAATGACAAAAATTAATGCAACTTATGCAGTCATTTTTTTACAGAATGTAGTTTTTGTATGCAGCTGGAAGGAAGTTCATTCGAAAACCGGTATCCTGAGGTGACTGAAATAATATAGAATTCTTTTGCAGACTGACTAGTTTAACAACCCTACTTAATTAATCCTTTTGAAACGAAAACGCACTTCGGAATTTCGGTTGACATTTCATGAGTTAGCCCACCTACTGTAGTGCTTGTAGCCGCAACTAGTCTAAAGTTTATAGAAAATCAGCAGGAACTTAATAAATATGAATGCAGGACACCTTAGCTCGAACTTACTTAATTTGATTAATTAAGTCCACTCACAGACACAACTTTGTTGACTACCTCAATTCAAACTCTGGCCTGCAGATATTCCAACTAGTGTTCTATTTAGGTGTGGAATTAATGGCTTCCTTCAAGAATATAAGACCCACGCGGTCCATCATCAAAGCCGGCATCTGTACTTGTTTACGTCAAACAAATCAACAATGAAAAATGAAATGATTAAAAATGTAATCCTGCGCCTTTATTACTATAACCCGTCTGTCCCATTGATTTAGGTAGGCGTGTTATATAAGAACTACGTTTCTGGCTGAGCTTAAGGTAGCGGTTGGATTTAGGGTAAAGGTTAAGGTTCGGGTTAGTTTAAAAAGAAGGGATGGATTTGGGGTTAGGCGGTTAGGTTTGTCAGCCGCATACCGTCCGGCCTTCTTCAACCAATAACCTTGGATGAACTGTTTTCTGTTTGTTTACACGTCCCTTTAATAGCATTTATCTAACTTCGCGGTCTGATCCGGTGCCTCGTTGGAGTAATAAATCAAACATGTGACAGAAATGCGGGTTATCCCAATGCCTTACGCAGACTACGTTAACTGATGAGTCAATCTTCCCTATCGATACACCTAACATTCACATCCTTCCGGTATTTCAGGTATCCCATTGGATCTCAGTAGGTTTACACCTTCAATTCTTGCCATGAAAAATCTCAGACAGTGTTCAACAACTGAATCGAGTGGATGTCCTAAACTTGCGAAAAGCGAAGAAGAATCACCCTTGAGCTAGAGCGCGGAGTGAACACCGGGTCTTCTGTTCAGACAACCCACAACAAGCGCAGAGTGCCAGGAGTGAACTATATTTTTCTCATGAAAACGCTTTGAATAGTAATTAGTAGTCAGCATAGTACTTTGTGACTGCTGCGGGGTACATTTGTCTTTGCCCTGTCTTTTTGGGTTCATTTTTGGTACAAATCCGGGTCTTCTCGGAAAAAATGGTACATGCAGGTAGAAAGGCTCCGCTTAGAATACCGATATACCGATGTTTAAAAGGCGACTTGAAGACATTACTCATAAACGTCAGTAGTGATAGTAGTCGAAGGCCATTTCCGATTGCCAAAGTGAAAGAAGTGACGGTCATCGGCAAACGGTAACTTGGGAGTTGACGTTTGGGGAGCAGGTTCGCTTGTCGAGCGTCAGACACCGACGGTCTGAACGCGCAATCAGTAGTATAAATTTCAGTGGGTGTGCGCGTCACAGCACTTGCCGCGTTGACAGTCATTGTTGACGCCAGCCGCGGGTCCTCCCTGAATCATCACCCCCAGCTCGGTTATGGAGTTTCCCCTGCTTTCGATGTCGGCGGCGCGACCGCACCAACGAGGAAAGAGCACGTTGTGCTAGACTCGCCCACGATTTCGGTCGTTTTCAAGCCTGTCGCCCAAACCCACCTAAGCCATATACAGCTAAGCGTGGTGGGTGGTTCGGAGGGCGTCTCACGGCCTGGCCCCTTGCCATTTTGGTCCGAAATCTCGACCGAGCAGAAATCGAACTCGCGATTAGACTCGGCAGCATGGGCTACCACTTTGATGCTCGATCAAAATCAGCACCGTTAGCATGCACGCTCTTCCTCGTCTGTAGTTGTTAACTGGCTCCTCGAAAGTCATTTTACACCCCGCAACGACGTTGGAACGGAATTTCAGTTTTACGAGACAGGTTCACAATAGACGAACCCCCAACAATGTTAGATAGTCGAATATAATTCATGACGGCCTGAAACAACACTAGCGGAGTTCGGTTAACCGTTTTTAGGTTTCGGTTTATACTGCAACTCTCAATTTTATGGACTCGGTGAGGGGATGTATGGCATAAAAATCGAACGAAAGACCCCATCTCACGACTGTAACGCCGCAGATGACCAGGCGAGTAAAGTGGCTACTCAATGTGTTCTACATGTAGAGGCGAGATGGGCAATGAAGCTCATCTAGGTTGTAATCATTTACGATCTAGCCGGCCTCAGTGATGGTGCGTAGTGTTCAGCTCCATGAGCGAAAATCCACCAAAGTGGATTCCTTGGGCTCGACTCGCCCTCTTGTTTAATTTCGGAGACCCAAGACCCCAGTTCCAGGAACAACTTGCATTGTAATCGTCGCCTGTCGGTAAGCTGCCGTTTGAACGCATGGGACGGACAGCTAAAAACGAGTTTTAACTCAGTCATCCTCCGCTGATGAACTGGGATATCCTGACAACGTTGAAGCAGTTAGTGCAGACTAATTCAAGAAATACACAGACTTCATTAGGGGATAGTTTGCGGGCAACGGTCGATTTCAAACCAGCCATTCCGTTTTTATTGAAAAGGAACATCCTAGCACATACAACCGCAGTGGGCTGACAGAACAGACGTTCGATACATGCGAACCCTTGTGAGATTGATATTGCGATGGATATAAAAACGCAGTTGAGGGCTTGGAGGAACCCTTGGAGTAACATAAATTAGAGTGAAGATGAGTTAGAGGTCATTCATCTGATAGAAATGGTCACAGCTCAGTTAACAACCTTGATTGTCAATCTTTTTTAGGCTGACAGGCATTAATGGCAGGGAGTGCCCCCTACCGTATATAGTCCGGCAAAAACGTTTCTCTTTGCTGGGTCGATGGAAAAACCAACCGAGCTGGGTAGGTCAATCACCTGCAGCACTACCTTCTGTAGGTTTTAATTTTTAGCGTCAATGTAATAAAGTTTAGCAGCCCGGCATTCTACAAGGCCATGTATAGCAGTGTGACAATGGAGCCAATAGTGCATTTAAACAGGAGCAAGACAATATACATTCCCGTCGAACTTTCAGCCTAATGTGGCAAAGTTTTGCAAAGTTGTTAAGGGCTAGAACTCAAACAATGGTGGGGCAGTACTAAGACTAAAACTAAATCGGAATGATCAAGGCCTAAAATCGCACAACCACTGCGCGAGTTCTAGTCCATAGCAATCTCTCCCAGCCATTCGACATTTGATCTTGCGTTCGGCAAGGTTCTATCCTGTTGCCCAATCTCTTCAACTGCGCCATTGATTGAATTCTCGGGAACGACCTACACTAAGTTGACGGTGTTGAATTTATACTCAGCTGCCAGCTGACAGACCTCGACTATACTGATTGTATCGCTTTACTAGCTTCAAGTTTTGGCGATCTACAGTCTATGGCGTCACGGATGATGTCCCTAAATCCGTCGTTTTATCCAATAGACGCTGGGAAGACCAGTGTTTCGAAGCTGCATCCTTGGCCAGGAGAAGGCCCCTCTCGGGATTGATGGTTGTCAGCATGAAGTAGGCAGTTTTAAATACCTCGGGCGAGGCTGTTGTCGAATGGGCAGAATAAGGACGCCGTAGACTCTACAATCGGTGCTGTCCAGCGGGTTTTCTTAAGCCCCTGAAAGTGTTTATGAACCCGACGCGACATCTCCATCGCCACGAAGATTCGCGTATACCGCGCATCCGCCCGGTCGGTACTTCTCTGCGGTTGTGAATACTGGGTTGTGTACGTGGATGATGAGGGAAAACTGGAGGTATTTGACCAGCATTGCTTGAGAAACATCCTCCAAGTTAAGTACACCGACTTCGTTTTGAATGAGACGGTGCGCAATCGCCGCGACATCACGAAGAGATCTCAGGCCCTACAAAAAGATGACTGAGGTGGTTTGGACGCGCTCTTCGTCGTCCACCTCACAGGCTCAGTGTTGCTATCCTCGACCCGGCACCGTTAGCAGCCTGGAGGCGTCGAAGAGGGGATCAGCTCAAAACCTAGCTCGACACAGTCCATCATGACTTGGAAGTGGTTCTCGAGCCCTCGGTATTTGGTCTCCGTCGTTGGCGAAGAGACGGGTTGAACTGTCTAGATCTGCTGCTGCGGATCTTCACGCGTGGAGTACAGTTCGTGACGTCATCGAGGCCGGCTAGATCAGACATGATCGCAGCCGTACCAAGTACAAGTCATGTGCCACGCCTTAATTTATGATCCCTTTCTATATAGCTGATTTGCCAGGTGGGCACCCAACCGCGTCTGGATGTTTAACGATTGCACTATACGTAACCACTCACTGGTCCGATCCGACAGTGACTTTTCGTTCGCAAAAAATCGAGTTACAAAATGCCTATAAAAAAAACTTGCAAGCGGCGACTTGTTGATTTATGGGTCTTCTGCTTTGTGAGAAAGGATGTCATGGAAAGAGGAATTAAGTAGGAGAAATTGATTACTTGACTTCTTCGTGAACGCGCAGCTTCAGTTTGTTGTTCTCCTCGGACATTTGATTCACAGTCATCTGGAGTTGTTCGATTTGTGCTGTTAGCTGACTAATCAGCGAACGCTGATTAACAACTTCGGTTTCAACCTGATGACATTAAAAAAGATAAAAAAGCAAGCATTATACTCCATAGGAAAACATACAGCCATTTCCTACAGTGCCTGATGACTAGTACATCCAAGCGCACTATTGCCAGGCTTATAAATTACACCATGATTTGAACTACTAGTAATAGCAATAATAGTAATAATTATTATACTGACGCTACTCGTACCACTAATGCCACTAAGACGTGAACAAGTTTACCAAATCGTCCCAGATAGAACAACAAGTAGACATAATACAAGATGTCATTATGATAAGCATTATTTTTTTTACATAACTGCAAAGTAAGCCAGCAGACCTGCGACAATTTTCCGTCGACCTTCCACCGCCACAGAGAAGATCCTCGTCCGAGTACTGCTTAATCGCCTGCAGCAATGACTTCTTCCCAGAGTCGATATGCATTACAAAAAACGGAACCACTTACATGATCTTCGCAACCAGGCAAATGCTGGAAGTATGTTAAGAAGTTAAAATCAACACCACAGTCGTTTATGTCATAAAGGCCGTCCATCCCGTTATGGACTGGGCAAAGTGGACGAGCACGACGCATCAGCAACACAAACACATCTCTCCCCAACTTCCCCCAAATTAACCAGAAGACATGCGAAACAACTGTAGAGGACTGACAGGCATGTCTAATGGTCAGAGAAACTGGAGAACCAAGCAGAGGAGGCCAAAACGACAACGTCAATGGCTGCTCTAAATCCAATTTGGTCTCTATGGACACCTCCAGATTCGGCACAATGTCAACACGGCCAACGCACCGTTACCGAAGAAAGCACTCTCACACGGTTTCCCCGTCTTCATCCGCTCTTGCCGAACACCTGCGTAGTCAGCAAAGTGGGAACATCACAAGACACGGATGGCAATCACCAAAAGTGTAGACACAGTGCTAACTTCTTTCCACGGTGCTCGCACATCACACTCACTCATCGGCCAGGGTGGACACTTGTCAAGCCACCTCAGCACGATTACTAAACCAGTGCCGGGTGCTCCAGCCAACGTCCAAAGGACACAAGCATGTGTGCCGGCACTTCTAATCACCGTACTGACCTACTCAGTCATATGCACAAGCACACAACAAAGATCACTGAAACATCACGCATCCCCTTTGCTCATACTTTTCACACACAATCACTGCATGAACCTTTCCGCTCACATCACCACCATCCATTCTTCACACACCAGTGATGCTTCCCAATGTAGGTAGTGCCCGGTGAAACGTTACGCATGACTGCGCACGCGCGCGGAAAGTTAGACGCGGAGACGCCCAGCCAAGTCCGTCACTCCGTCTGCGGTCCTTACCGATCGGCCGAAATGTTCGGACGGGACACGGGGCGCACGAGACATCGAATAGGGAGTGAAATCAACACTGGAAATCTAGCACATTCCCCGACGATTATGAATCTTACGCACTTGAAACAATTACGACGCGTTATAGGTCGCGATTTGTGGGTTGGGGGATGATGAGACAAGGTGGTCATGCCGCACTGGCAGCTTCCTTAGGTGACCTTTATGGTACCGTTTAACTCATGCAGGATCGGAATGCCTGTCTGGCACGCGTTGTAAGGAGACACCAGGTCATGCCAGCCACTGCGCTCAATCTCATGTTCACTCAGCTTGACATGAACGAACTACTGGTGAGTTTTAAAAAGAAGAGGGAGTGAGAACGATCCAGCGTCCAGTGTTCTCCCAGTAAAAAGAAACTAGGCGCGCCCCGAAACAATCAAAAGGCATAAACAGCCGTGGTTTATAAGACCGCTAGCTGAAATGATAACTCGTTCATACTCAGGTCTGTGGATCAGATTGCAGTGGCTCCTTCTCAGTGTGGTCTTTTGTCACTCTCGCCCACGTGCAAGCTCAGATACCCCTAATGACTCACGGTGCTTGTCGTCCAAGGGGCCGGGTGGTGTGCTAAGCGTTTAGATCGGCCCTTTAGATTTGCCGGCCATTATATCTACGCCCACATTCGGTCGTCTGGACTATGCCCTGTAATCGCAAAGCGGTGGTTGTGAAAAGAGGGCGTGAGGTAGACGCATCGAAAGTCTCCCTCACTCTAAACAAATTTCCGAGCAAGCCACCACCGCGATTAACTCGTGCGGGGGGATAGCTGGTCTTCTCTCTTTCGACAGCCGTGGGGACCGAGTCCTCTGAGCCAGTCCTATTCTCTCTCTTCCCCACCCCGTGCACCGGCCGCCTGTCCAAGACGCTCTATCAACTGATGCTGATATTGGTCAGCGACTGACAGAGTTAAAACAGCCCGTCTGCGCATGCCACACACACACGAACACAACAAACCAGGTTTTCGCACAACGAGGGGTGGGCTGCTTAGAGCTCGCACGCGCTAGCGTAGCATAGAGGTCACATGGAGAAGGAGCCGAAGGACACGCGTCCTATTTGCGTGAGAAGTGCATGTTCCGTACTCGCTGTGGGTAAGGTGTGACGGGTTTGCGTATGATGCATGAACCAGTGGGGAACAAAGTGCTGATGGAGTTTGTTCTGTGGTGGATTACTGCCTATTTACATGCAGACAGTTGCGCTGTCACCAAAACTGCATGCTGTGATACTTACCTGCTCGCGCTCGACGGTAATCTTTGCCATTTCTGCGCGTTCCATTTCAAACTCCTGCAGCAGCTGTTCGATGTGAGCCTCCTTCTCCCGCACTAGGTTCTTGTTAAAAATAATGCAGCATCTAAGAATGGCATGAGGAGGTAGGTCTCTGGAAAAAGCAAAGTCAGTTAATTGTGTTGTGGACGTTCTTTGGCAAAAAAGAATACCTATGTGGTTGAGGACAAACCGCTTGTTTTGCACAGGCGCTTTCAGTTCGACCAACAGTCTGAAGGAATAAATGCATGTTATTTGCAGCTCTCTGCATAGTTTAGTGTCGTCGAAGAAGCTCTTTTTTTCATTTTTCATGTGTACACATCACGAGATCTGTTTATTTTTAACTGGCCCAGACATTCCATCCCTTTTAGGTCTGCAGTCGGAGCTGTGGCGCGATAGATGGTCGAGAGTAAGTGCAAACTAACATTCAAGGCTTAGTGAGAGGGCATATCGAAGGAGGGGAGAGGCAGGATGATCAACACGAATAGAGATTAAAAAATATCACTGAAGAGACTGATAGAATGGATGTACTGCAAACGCCGGTGAACAGAACTACCAAAATGAGGTGCGAATGTTCTGCCTAAAGGACCAAGATGCACAAAACCGACAGGACGATAGACTTTAAAAACAAAATGTGTGGCAGTTGACACTACTCCCGTCTTCATGGATTTTCGGAGTCAAATGACACCCAGTACAATCCCTCGCTGGCCTGGAAGTCTCGAAAGGCCGTCAAAATACCGGACGTATTTGAGAATGATTGAATTTGATACGGTAATCGTTGTCTTTCCAAAATTGGCGAATGTTTTGTCGGATGCCGCAGCAATATTCATTCTGACGGACTCAAAATAAAGGCCCAAGTAAACACGCAAGAACAAAAGCGTCAATGTCATCGGCGATACCGAAAAAGACTTCAGCACAGTCACATGCAGGAATAAAATGATCAGTGGCAACAAGCAATTGCTTCAGATTAGAAAAGTGACGCGGGAGGTGTTCCTGCTCCTTCTGACCGCTTACGTGTCCGGAGAAGAGGGCGTCCGTGGCAATAACAGACAACAAGGCAGGTAACCACTACTTGCTGATAGAAGGGACGATAACTCAGTATGATAGAAATGGTTATCATCCGCCACCTACCAACGTGCCCGTTCGGATGAGTATATGTGAGAATTAAAAAGGCCCTCAAGAGAACGACTGCAGAAACCTGTGCGGTAATGCCCATGAAACCACTGATGTAACATGTAACTGTCGCCTCCTCAGTAGACAAAAGACATTATCACCATGCTATCTTAACTGGTTGCGGGGTTGGATCTCAGCAAAAAGGTTTTATACCATGAGGTAATAACTGAACAGACAGATAAATGCAGACCTTCTGCTCGCGCTCTCAGTGCTTAATAATAAGTCGTAACATAGCTGGGTGTATTCGTCGAACAAACGTCAATTGAGAAACCAGCGAGCGCTTGTTATAAACTTCTTGGTCGGATTTCAAATGAGCCCCAGACAAATCATAAAGAGAATAAATAAAATGCATGCAAACTATCGCCACTTTGCGGGACATAAAATGCTAACGGACGGATACTAGTATCTGCAAAACCTACCTCCAAAGCTTGAACACTAGCTCCTCCATAGGAACGAGTACCTGGGGTGGCGTTGAGTTTCCTCTGTTGCTAGAAAACAAACAATTAGAAGACGGCGGAGGATAAGTCCAAGGAGAAACAAAAAGAAATAGCCATCAAGATTAGACGAAAAAGATAAGCCCAGAGGTTGGAGAATGGTGGCGGGAAATGCGGAGATGAGGAACTTTATCGCCACTTTCCCTCGTGACGTCCTACGCTCAGAGGCAGAAAAGCATAAAATTGGCAAAACACCATGAGGGAAAGTTCGCCACCAGAAGTAAAGAAGTTAGTCTGAAAACTCACCGCGGCTGCTGGACGCAAGTGTGGTCGAGAAACAGAACTGAAGTTGGAACTGGCAGACAGTAAGGACTCACGGCTTCCCCTAAAAAAAGAGCGCGCAAAGACGGATATAATGAGTAGTGCTTGTGATTAGCGACGGAAGTGTGTGAATGTACTGAGTGGCGTTTTAAGGCACAAAATTGGGAAATATGTTTACTTACATGCGGCCTGCGGACGATCGGAGGAGCCGACCCGATGGCTTTCCATTAAGTGGAGTTATTTTCGTGGGCGCGGAAAAGAGACCATGATTGGGTTTACAGGAGAAGTACCTATAGAAAAAAATTAAGTAGGGACATGTGGCAACCCTCAAGAGCTGACACCATAAACGTTCTAGTCAATTCTACAGACAATGTTACCTTCTGCCGGAAACTGAGCCATCATTTTTGCCTGAGGCTTCATCCAGTTCAACGCCCACCCATTCGCCACTGGCAAAGTCAGTAGGTCCAATATAACGGATGACACCCAAGCGCCCTCCTGATACCTGCACACGATCTCCCAAACGCAGACCTTGTGGAATGTTTGGCAGCTCCACGTTCTCACTCGGCCGCCGCTGACCGGAACCACTTACTGCGCCCGGAGTAGTGGGAGAGAACCCCTGGAGACATTATGAAGGCAAATAGTTTACTAGAAATGCATCATGAGAAGCAAACGTTCGACGCATAAGACAGGTGTTTACAAAGCATAGGAAGAAGATTCAAGGACACAAGTAGTCACGCAATGCATGATGACTTACTGGACTTGTGACAGATTGTTGCATGACCAACTCTGCTATCGGTCGTAAAAGATTACGACGCGTAAACAGACCACATTGAGGTTCGCAGTCAAAATACCTGATCCCATCTACCGTCCCATCGTTTTTACCATTAGGGGCATTTAGACGGACGCCTGCGAGGAATAAAAGACAAATTGAGGGAATGGACGAAAAAGACTGAATCAACAAGTATAAGGTGTTTCCCTAAAGCACGCATTTATCGAATAAACAGTAGTTTGCCGGAGTGCCTTTCAACCAGAAGTCATGTCCGCAATGTAGTTAGGACAGTGCCGTTCTGGACCGAGTGGACACACTTTTGTTGAGCCAGCTATGGAGCCCCATCGCATCCCCACGTTGTCTTGAGGTAGCCTCGCCACCAAAACAAGACCGAATGGGTATGGATAAGGAGTAAGGTCGATGTTTCTAAAGTCTCCCTCACTAAAATCCAACCAACACTGCCCTCCGAGATGGTGATAACTCCCCTCTTCCTTGATGAGCAAAGTTTCGCGGTCCAATTTTACTTAAAACGACCCAATAGGCCTTTTGTCGGTCTTCGGATGTCAAAAAGTAAGTACTTTCAGTGGGCCCGTCATACCAGATAAAAACTTGAGTTATCTAAAGCATTTCAGATGAACTAACAAATATCAAGGCTCAAATAATAAAAAATAGCCTCAGGACTTTACAGTCCAGACCAACTCTAAATAAACGAATGAAGGAAATTTTAACTGAACAAACAAGGAAATGACGAAACTACAACCCGAACATCGGTTGAAAGCAAATTGTGGCAACTTGCGCGAGACGGATTCGAAGTAACAGCATAGGACAAGGAGTTATCAGGTGAAGCCTCGATCCTTGCAAAATTAGTAGAATGACCAAATCCTAGTTACCAATACAAAGCCCACATCAATACATTTTGAATACAGTGGCATGCCCGCCATATTTTGAATACCCAACAAATCGACAATGGGGGACAATAAATTTCATTACTATGCCACGAGGTGAGACCAGGACTGAGCTGCGCGTGGTGATGCATCTACCCCGCGCGCCCTTTTCACACTGCCTACCGTCTTGTGACGGCATAACAAAGTCAAGACGAACGGAGATGGACGTGGGAGCAGTGGCTGACACGGCCTTAGTTCTTAACTTCACGCATGTCAATATGCTAAGAGAGGGGTCCTGGATCTAATGTAAGTGGGAGTGCCATAAAGGTCTCACAAAGACGGAGCCATTGTAGTCTGACTCCGTCCAGAAAACAGTTATCACATCAAATGATGATTTTCCAAGTATTAGCTGAAGATCGAGACAGGTGCCACCGAGTTGCTGTTGGTGTCTGGTACAACGGAAATTGCTCGCTCATTCAGTACGTCTTTAGAACTCCACATGTTTCTCTTATATAATTTTAGTGGAGAATGACGTCTTATAACTGACAGGAACAATTCGTTGGAATAATTGGTGTGAAAATTACACCCATAAGCTGACTTCGTGTGTGTCGTGGTCCAGGAATCTTCGTAACCATTGGCAACATCCTGCAGGCTCTAGAATCTGCTCAACTACTAATGGCGTTAACCAAAACAATTTAAACTAAATTTGAAATCTTGAAGCCACATCATGGTATCATGAGAAGATGAAGTGTCTATGCGGTTAATTATTCAAGTGCTAAACGTAATAAGCTAGCGAGTTAGCAATTCGTGCTGCGTGGGAGTGTCTTTTATTAATATACCACAGTTTCCGATGAAAAATCCCTGGACCTGGTTCCGTTTGTCCAACAAGTTATACACCGCTGGAGAACTCCCTATCACGGTATAAGTCTCCTTTGAAAAGGTCTCGTAGACCAAAGTAAACACAGTTTCTCAAAAGTCAATCATATCTAGAAACCCTGTCGAAGTTATATTTCAGAGGAGACGGTTAACTACCGAAATTACAGAAGTGCTTTTTGAACCCTACTAACATTGACAGGATATATGACCAATCATTTCACGGACCCAGGCGAACCCAGACATTGCTTGTACTTGCACTTGATACGACTGCGATCATGCCTGATCTATCCGGCCTCGATGATGTCCTGAACTGTACCTCTCCACGTGTGACGATCCGTGGGCAAATCTGGACAGCTGGACCCATTCCCTTCGCCAACGACGTGGACCGAATACCGAAGGCCAAGAACCACCTCCATGTCTTGACGAACTGTGTCGAACCAGGTTTTGAACTGACCCCCTCTTAGTCACCTCCAATGGGGCAATGGTGCCGAATCGAGGGCAGTAACACCGAGGTCCTGAGGTGAACGACGAATTACATACCCGAACTACCTCAGTAGTCTTTCTTGGATGATCTGAGTTATCCTTGCGATGTTGTCGCAGCGAGCGCGAACTGTCTAATTTGAGACAAAGTCGGTGAATTTTACTCGAAGGATGGTCCCCAAGCAGTGTTGGTCAAATACCTCCAGTTTTCGTACGTCCTCTACGCGCAATGCCCAGTCAGAAGGCAATGCCTCGACTTCATATCGAGAATACCATTTAAAATAACCCGGTTTCGTCGCTAAGCCTAATTGGACTCTAGGCTAAAGTCCCGTGAAAAAACAGAAGCGTGTTAGTGAGCGGCACTTCAAATCGACTTTTAACATCCTCGTGCATAATAAACAGGACGCGAGCCGGCGGCTTAACAGCGCAGCATCCGACTTGTTACACCAAGATAAAAAAAAACACCAGGTTATTTTGAAATAAGGCTGAAATACGGACGCAAAAAACAATAAAATAAACCTGGAATTTTCACTCCAGTGTTTCCACACCTCTCTCTCTCTCTCTTTCTCTCTTTCTCTCTCTCTTGACAGCACTCTTTGATGAAAGTAAATAGCAGTTGGACTGGACCCAGTCTGTTGCATCAGCCATAATAAATTACAGTACGACCTTCATGCAAGCGATGGATACAACATTCTTACAAGGGAGCAAAATTTTAAAAAATGTTTGACAGGATACATATTCGGCAGAAGGCCCCGATAACAAGGTCGGCTTTTGGAAAATGTATAATTCCGTCAAATAGCCTTACTGTGGGAAGTAAAAACAGCAAGTGGGGCAACAAATCGTAAGAAATGATATGCGCGAACTGGTCACATCTAACAAGCCCTTGTAACTTGAAGTATTTACGGGGTTTTTAAAATAACTGAAGTCTTGTAATACACGCACCTATACTCTGTTTAAGGTCGCAAAGGTAGTTACGTGCTCTGAGAAGAGTAAATAGACAAAACCCGTCATTAGCGCAGAACTCCTGAACTTGTCTAGGACACGAACTGGGATTAATTTCGGTACATCCACACATCAGGGCGCCCTCAAATGTATGAAGTCGTAAACTCCAAATGGAGTACTTTGGCTGGGACCAGCGTGATACTGCATGTGCGCTGATGAATAGCAGCTAACGGTTTGTGGACAATCAATGCGTATCTTGAAGTAGGTTGTTTGATGAATTAGCATTATCGCAATGTAGTCTATTCATCTGCATGGTCATTGTGGTCGTCGAAAAGAGATGGGATATTAATTATAAATGGATGAGGAAACGTGCTTGCTAGAAGTGTCGGGTCAACGTTTTTGCATTACGGTGTTTCAGTCGCACAGTCTTCCCAGATTTTTAATTTGAGTGGGAAATCCCCGAGGTCATTTGCCGGTAAAAATGGGTCAAAACACCCTAATAGCATAGTTGGAGTTACAATTTAGTCAAAGCGGTACAATCCAGGGATGAGTAGCAGTAAGCAGACTGACTGGCTCAACCTGCAGTTCCTCTCCAGCAAGTTAGCTGTGTCGTTGCGGGCGCGCCTATGCGTGCAAGCGCAGTTTATGCTCGGGAGCATTTGTACAGTTCGTAACCCCAGACATTTGGCGGCATACTCGACCCAAGATGTCCGCGATTCCGCTCGTGTGACGGTGTGCGCAAAGTGGTATGCTAAAGTGAGACTATTCGCACCAGCCCGTGACCGCAGCAGCTTGGGAGCCATTGTAGCCGGCCCCTTGACGGCCGAAAACGTCGTCTGGTATTCTCGTCTCTATCTACAAGATGTCATGTTAACCTGTGTCTGAGCCAGGTTTATATGTAAGGATGCAAATGTAAA